TAGCCGAATATATACTGTAGATTTAAATTCAGGTCTGTGTTTCAGCAGTTATGGGTTGCTCACATAGCTACCGTAGCTACCGTAGCTACCTCTGCACGTGATTGTGAGGGCTTGGCTGCACTGCTCACCAAATGTTCAAAACTAGAATGAATCTTCTGCAGAACATGGAATAATACACTGCCATATGTTTTGTCTTTTCTCGTTTTTTTTTGTTCTTTTTTCTTTTTTCTCTTTTTTCTTTTTCTCGTTTTTCTTTTCTTAGGAATACGTGCAGTGGCCCTAAGGGCCTCTACTCATCACAGGCAGAAAAGACAAAACATATGGSAGCGTATTATTCCATGTTCTGCAGAAGATTCATTCTAGTTTTGCACATTTGGTGAGTAGTGCAGCCAAACCCTTAGAATCACGTGCACAGACTAGTAGCTACGGCCTAGCTACTTGAGCAACCCATAACTGCTGAAACACAGACCTGCATTCGAATGTTCATTATATATTCAGCCAACTCGTACTGTATATTCACTGCCTACGTTGACGTTGGTGGGTGGGGGGGTCTTCACGACAAGGCTGCGAGGACCCTTCAAATAGCCTGTATGGGCTGTCTGAGGGGGGGAGATTCCCCCACCCCCCATAAAAAAAAAAGGACCTTCAGGCTTCAGATAGCCTGATTGGGCCGTGAAAAAAAAAAGGAGTGCATATCATCAGCATATGCGTGTGTGTGCACTGTAAATTTTGTGTGTATATGTTTGGGTGGGGGTATTTCGTTTTGTTTTTTTTTTACTTCATTTTTTGAATTTCCGTAGTCCTCCACGCGTGCGCATGCCCCCCGAGGTCGCGTTCAATTTTTTTGCGCTCCGTCGCGCGCAGCGTGTTTGAACGCGATTGAACGCGGCCCCGGGGGAAATGAACGCGCGCGTTTGAACGTGCACGCGCATTCCGCGCGTTCAACCGGTTACACAGACGCGGAACTAGAGAAAAAAGCGCTCATAGGTTAGTAAGTTTAATCAAAACAAACAACTGTTATAATGAAGCACGTAGACCGGAATCCACGCCACATCTTCCATTGCGATCAAAAGAGGAAAAAAATCACGCGCACCTCAAACCTGCGCGCCCACACCCTGTCTAACCTGGCCAACTATTTAGTCAACATAGCCCTCGGACATCGCTGCGTCTCGCGCAACATACTCAAACCTTTAGACTTGGTTTACTTTCTGTCATTTGCAAAAACCAGGGTGGATACCCTCGCAAGGGTATTCGCGCCGACAGCGTGGCTGCCTGACTGGCGGATTGACTGTGTCGTGCTTCTACCTGTCTCGCCCGAATACTACGTACGATCATTATAGCTACAGCTGTATTGGGGCGATTTTGAGTCTAGATACAACAACAATAATGACCGTACGTTGTGCTCGGGTGTAAATGGGTAGGTGATGGGATATCCGCTGACGTGTTCGTCTTGGGGGTTCGGTTCACTGTACTAGACTGAAAAGAAGGAATATATACTCTTCTATCCTCTTCCCCCCTTCCACCGAATAAAATGTACGGTCATTACGGCTGCATCTAGACGGAATTTGTCACAAGTACAGTTGTAATGGCGGTACGTTATATTCGGGGGGCGACGGTGTGCTGCATCTTCCAGCCAGCCGTATATTCTTTATTTTCCACTGACAACTCCATTGATACAGAGGCGTGCAATTCTGGTGCTGTGCATTGAGGGCCTCGCCGCATCACTAACCAAATGCACCAAAAAAAAGGAAAAAAAAAAAAAAAAAAAAAAAAAAGAGAAATAAACTAGGCTACCAGAGTGGCCCGGGGTCACTTGCCCGGCCGGGCCAAAATAATTAAAATAAATAAAAATAAATAAAATATTTTTGAACTTTATTTTTTATTTTAAATTTGGTGAAGAATTTCGATGTAACCCTGAGGCAAACGTTGTTCAGTTTATTGTTCTGCATAACATAGTTGTTTTTCAGAATTTTTAGATTTTTTTTTTTTTTTTTTTTTTTTTTTTTTTTTTTTGCTGGGACCTTACCTGATCCTTGCACGAGCTGGCCACCCGGGACCTGCGCGGCCCGGCTGGTAGCCTAGGAAATAAATAAATAAATTATGAAGGTGTATCTTTCCCTGTTTTAGCTAACGATTCATTGGCACATTTAGTGATTCGGGCGAGCCCCTGAAGCCTGCACTACGTAAGTTGTAGTAGTACATTCGCGCTTAGCTTGTCGTATGGACTGGGATGGGTGGAATCCCGGTCTCCGTGCCCCGGTGGCGATCCCGTCCGTTGATGGGTGTGCCTGTCTGGACCAGGCTCGCTGGAGTCGAGCAAAACTCATGAGCGCGGACTTGTATGTTTGTTGTCCATGCGCTGGCGGGAAATTTTGATTTGCCACGTGGCAGCAGCGTAGTCGCTCTGGCGAAAAAAAATTATCTGCCACGTGGCGGCGTAGTCGCTCTAGCGGGAAATTTTGATCTGCCACGTGGTAGCACAGTCGCTCTGGCGGGAAATTTTGGTCTCCCACGTGGCGGCTCAGTCATTCACCGGGAAATTATGATCTGCCACGTGGTAATGCAGTCGCTCTGGCGGGAAATTTTGATCTGCCACGTGGCGGTGCACTCGCTCCAGCGGGAGATTCTGATGAGCCACGTGGTGGCGCAGTCGCTCTCGTCGGAATGTGCCGACTGCTCTGCGCGGCAGCGGCAGTGCCCCCGTTCAGACGAACCGCTTCGAGGTTATTTTTTCCTTTCTTTTTTCTTTTGTCAGTGCCCCCGTTCAGATGAACCACTTCGAGTTTTTTTTTTCCTTTCTTTTTTCTTTTGTCTTCGACTAATAATCAATCAGCCACCTGCTATGAGTCATTGAAAACGACGGACGGTATTTGATGAGTAAAATACAGAGGTGAATTTGAACGTCACTGGAAGCAAAGCAAGATGAGTAAAATACTACAATGATCCTGAAATATCTAGGGTCGGTCACTACGCAAACCACCCATCTTCCCCCCGTCTCTGGCCCTACCCCACTCCACCTCCCCCCTCTCTCCTCCTCCTCCCCTTCCTCCCCCCCCCTCTCTCTCGCTCTCTCTCTTTGTGCTCCCTACCCCCTCCCCGCGTTGCTCGCTGGCTGAGTCTTTTTTGTTTTGTGCTCCGTCTTTCACGCATACACATCACTCGCACTGCCTGTTTTTATTTTTTGTTCGCTCGCACTGCCTCTTTCTGCACAGCCTCTTTCTTACTTGGGCATGGCGCCTCCACCTCCCAAGGCTCTCCCTCTACGTCAGAATATCCTGAGCTTCTCCAGCGCTCTGTGTGTGTGTGTGTGTGTGAGAGAGAGAGAGAGAGAGAGAGAGAGAGAGAAGAGCAAGCACCCCTAGTGCAAACGAACCAGCGAGCCAGCGCACTCGTGCGAGAGATAGAGAGATAGAGATAGAGAGAGAGAGAGAGAGAGAGAGAGAGAGAGGAGCAAACACCCTCAGCGTGAGTAAGCCAAAGAGAGGGAGAGAGAGAGAGAGAGAGAGAGAGAGAGAGAGAGAGAGAGAGGGCGTGGGGGGGGGAGAGGGAGGAGCAAGCACCCTCGGCGGGAGCAATCTACAGAGAGAGAGAGAGAGAGAGAGAGAGAGAGAGAGAGAGAGAGAGAGAGAGAGAGCTCTGCTTTGCGCTGTCGTTGAGGAGCGCTCAGTCAGTCCAAGCCAAAGCGTCAGTCTCGAAAAAAATGACAGTCCCATGAATATGGTCAGAAACAAACCATAGAGTGGGCAAGGCTGTGGTCAGTCTTTAGCTTGTGGCTCCTCAGTTTTCTTATCTTCGGCCTCCTGAAGCCATTGCTCCACTGGGTCCCGACTTAGAAACCTCACCAATCGTTGTCCCGGGAAGGGCCCTTTCAATCCAGTTCCATCCAAATCTTCCAGTTCGAAGGTGTTCAGTCTCACCCGCTTGGCGACCCGATAGGGGCATTTGAACCTCCTTCCCAGCTGTCCCGACCAAGTACTTTCTAGTGCCGAGTTCCTTAGCAATACCATCTCCCCCACTTGAAGTGGCTCCTTTCTGCCATTCTTAACCTGGTCCCACCTTGCTTTGTCCCTCATTCTGCTGTCCAGTACCCGGTTGACGATGTCTTCCATGACCTCCTCATTCTTAAGGATTTGTTGACATCTTGCCTCGATTAACTCTTCAGTGGTCATTTGCAGATCATCATCTATCCTATTCCAGGTAGGTACCAAGGCTTCTACAGGAAAGTCGATCTCTCTTCCGTACCGAAGCTCTGTCGGGATACATCCTGTTCTCTTAGGGGTCATATTCTTTGCAAAGACAGCCTGCTTAAGATACCTAGGCCAGTTCCCCTGATGGTCCGCTGCGAGCTTTGCAATCGTGTTCTTCAAGTTTCGGTGCCCCCTTTCCACCGGTGCATTGGCCTTAGGGTGATACGGCTCGATGAGTTTGATCGGTACGCAGAGTCTCTTAAGCATCCCCAATACTTCTTGGTTCATAAACTCTGTCCCATTGTCTGCTATAAACCTCCTGACGAACGGATGCCTTAAATATAAGTCTTCTATCAAGTCCGCCACACTCCTCCCTGTCTTTTTCTTGAGGGCGACTGCCTCCACGAACCCACTCAGGTTGTCTCGCGCATCCAAGATATACTTGTACCATCCGTTGATACAGGCATGACCGCAAGGTCGAGGTGGACCAGGTGCCCCGGCCCTAGCACCCGCGTTGGTCTAAGCGGCTCGAAGACCTGCACCGAGCTTCATTCTTGGCAAATAAGGCAAGTCTGGCAGTATATGGCGACCATGCCTGCCATGCCTAGCCAATAATAGAGTGACGTCATCTTTGCAAACGTTCCTTTGGACGACCGATGACCTCCAGCCAACCCATCGTGCATTGCCTGGATAACGTCCACTTACCTAGATCTTCCGCACACAACCCTTCTGGGCATAGCACCTTCCTCCCTTCGGAACAAATGCCTGCCCCTTAGGACGTACCTTTCGGCTTCTTCTCTAGCTTTAATACTGACTTCCGTAGGTTGTTTGTTTCCTACCAACAACAGTCCGATCTCCCGAAAGAGCCCTTTGTATGATTAGACATAGGAAAACTCCTCTCCTTCCTTGCCCCCATCCTTTCCTTCCTGCATCTGGTTTACCACCCATTGTAACTCTTTCCTTTCCCAAGATTCCACTAAGCTCATCACTGCTTCCCGGCCTACCTCGACCGCCATTGCCATTAGTTCCTCTTTTGGTCCTACTATCGCTCCCCATGCGTCCTTTTCTTCTCTGCGTCCTCAAGCGGTAACTGATCCTTCTCTAAGTTCTGCTACTACGGCAGGTGCCCCCTTCTCCAAAGTCTGGATCAATAGTTCTCCCGATGTGCATCCCCCGCTCATCATTTCGTTATCCATCGCAAGAGTTCCTCCTTCGTATTCGAGGAACTCATCTATGGGCTCCGCATCCTCCACCCCTTCGGGAGTGATGCAGACCCGGCTCAACCCATCAGCCTTGATCCTAATTCCCGCAATCCGTCCGATCTTATAGTCGAACTGCCAGATAAATCCTACCCATCTCCCCACCGTCGGATGTATAGGCCTGTAATTCTTTAAGGCCCCCGCAACATTTGTCCGATCGATCCTGAGGATAAACCGCCTCCTAAATAGGTAGGCCTGGAAGGTCTTAAGGCAATGCAGGATGGCTAGGACTTCCTTCTTGAATTGCGAGTACCTCCGTTCTGCGGAGTTCAGGGTTCTACTTTCGAACCTAATCGGCCTCTCTTTTCCTCCCTCGTCCCTTTGAATCAACACACCTCCTACGACCAAAGGTCCTCCATCCGTCTCTAGGATGAAGGGTCGTCCCACTTCATCATTAAAACAAGGTGCGGACAGGGCGACTGTCTCAGATGTCAATACGTCCTTGAGCCTTTGGACAGCTCCTTCTCGCTCCTCCGTGCAATCCATGGTTCCTTCTTCCCTGATCATAACCCGGATAGGCTCAGCAATCTTGACAAAGTTCTTAATGAAGATCCTCCAAAAACGGACTACACCTAGGAATGCCCTTACCTCCGTCGTCGTGCGCAACGACGTCGGCACTGTGATATCTTGTCAGTCTTTGCCGAATCCGGCTTCCTGTCGTAAGCACCGCAACGAAATCCTAGTATTGTTACCTCCGGTGCTGCTAGGATACTCTTTGGTCCACTAGCCGTAATGTTGCATACTAGGAACCGGCGGAGTAAGTCCTTGATGTCCTGCAGATGGTTCCACACAAAACGTCGGATCCCTGGCTGGACCTCCGTCTCGTCCTTCTCCTGCGCGCCTTTGATCGGATTGTCATCGATGTAAGGCTCACATTTTTCTGGGAACATGTCCCCAACCACGGCGAGCATCCTGAGTTGCGCTTCGGCCACCGCGTTTGTGAATCCCATAGGGGTCACTTGCATCTGTAGTTGGCCTACGGGGGTGTGCATAGCGGTGTACGGCCTGTCCCAAACATCCAACGAAAGTTGGTCGTACCCTGAGTACAGATCTATCAGGGAGTAAATGCTCCGACCGGCGTGCGATTCTGCTGATAAGTTAGTCTGAGGTTGCGAGCCAGCATCCCGGATGGTTACCGCATTCAACTTCTGCAGGTCCTGAATCCACCTTAGTGTCTTGTTAGGCTTCCGAAAGATGAACCACCGATTTGCGTATGGCGATGCCGTAGGTTCCGCAACGAAGGAGTCCATCTTTGCTCGGAGGAGGTCTGTTACTTCTCCTGCTATCCCAAATTCATAGGATGACCCCTTGTCATTCCAGCACTCATGTTCTACCGTGTGGATTCTGACCGGAGGGATCGACTTCGCATCCAGTCGTCCAATCTGGTGATCACTAAAGGCAAATGTCAGGTGAAACTCCTGGCAGGTCCTTTTGATCAGGTGGGTTTCTTCTTCCGTTAAGAACCCGTCTATCCATATCTTCATTGTGTCAGCTACCTCATCTGGTATCTGATGTCCCTCTGCCGCCCTTCTTTCTCGGATCACTCGAAAGACCTCTTCCTCCTTCTCCATAGCCTCTTCCTTTGATGTCTCTAGCAGAATCAGGACCGGTCTTGCTTTCTTCCCAACCGGCTTGTACTTTCGAACACTTCCTTCCGGGATCTTTCTCCTAAAAAATAAACAGTCGGAATCGCCCCCATCGCCTCTCTGACTTGTGGCTGAATACTAACTAGTTTCCCATTCAGGCAATATCCCTTTTGCACCTCTCTTTCGAACTTGGCCAAGGCTGCCGAATCCACTCCTACCTTGTGGTATGCGAGGGCCTTGATGAGTTGTAATAGATCGGGGATCTCGAGTGTGATTTCTGGCACGTCTATGCATACTTCTTTCCGTTTGGGCAGGCTAGCACAAAGTTCGACCTCTGACTCCTTTTCCGCTACCATAACACCTAGGACTTCGTCCTCCTGCCTCCTCTTCGTCTGGGGCAGACCCATCTTGATCCACTCCTTCTTGTTGGATGCTTCCTCAATCATGATTTCTACCCTTTCTCTCATACCCTCCATTCGTGCGAAAGCCCCTTTCCGTATGCTATCCTCGAACGACGGCGACCATGTTGCCGATTTCCCCTTCGGGGGGTCTCCTCCCGTTCCAAGGAGTCGGAGGAGCTCTCCCAGGCCGATCACAGGGTCCTCTATGTCTACCATGTACGAGCCATCGTGCAAGTGCATGCCTATCCTCTCTACGTTCGTGCACCACGGTCTCCCGAGGATTATGTCGTGGTCCATTTCCTCCATTACGGTCATCCGCTGAAACGACCAGATCGATTCCCTGATCCCTGCCCTCACAGCACACTTCGTGACGTACCCAGCGAACGGGATTTCCCCACCAGCTTCCCGGATGCCCCCTGTTACTTCCTTGTTTACCGTACATCCCGTGATCGTTGAGAAATCTCTCCTTATGAGAGTGATTTCTGCGCCCCCGTCTACTAATGCGTCGGTATGATGAGTCCCGATCTGGATTTTCAGTTTCCCTATGGGCAGTGCATGAAAGCTAAGCTTTATCCCGGGTGGTGATCTTATCACTTCGCCGCCCTCCCGGTCGGTCAGGCTCAAACGAATGTCTGCAAAGACTTTTTCGAGATCCTCCAAGTCCCCGTGATTCCTCTGAAGGTTAGTCACTTCTTGCGGAGCTTCCTCCTCCCTCTCCCCTTCTGGTAATTCGGGGTTGTCGCCTATTTCTACTCGCCTCTGAGTCAACAGGTGTCTGAGCCCTTTGAGCAACATAGGGCTAGCCTGCAGCATGGTCTGAAAAGACACCGACACCATGGTTCCTAGTAACTTGCTAATGGTGTCGTCAAGCTCAGGCAAGGTTAAGATCGAGATTTGATACCTAAACTTCTTCTTAGCGGCGGTAACCTTGTCCGCAGGCTCCTCTTCCCTAGGCTTCCCATAGACTTTCTCTAGTTCCTCGGCCTCAGGCTCTGCCTCGGGTTTGGAGCTTCCGGCGACCTCCTCCATAATGGTGTCACGGTTAATCCTTCTCTCGGCCGTTCCCAGTCGAGTGGTTGCGTTCACCCTATCACGTTCGTCGCTTTCCAAAATAAAGTTGGCTTGCGGCCCGCGCCCCCGGAGTTGATCCCTAATGATCTCGCCCACCGGTTCGGCTTCTACGGCTGTTATTTCTAACCCGTTGAGCATGATAATGACTCGCCGCATCCCTCCTGGTGAGTTTCAGTTTATCCGTTCCCCTTATGGTCCAAATATCTCCCCCTTTAATAACCTGGTACACCTTCTTTTCAGAATATCATGGTTGAGCTTTGGGCACGCGCGCACATAATGTCCTATCGCGGTACAGTACTTGCATTGCTCATTAGCAGGATCTCTCCGTCCGAATCCCCGGTTGGCTACACCTGGCGAAACCACAGCTTCCTGGGGAGGGAGGGCGGGTCGGGATACTTGCGCCTGCATAACTTGTAGTGCGCCTTCCATCCTTTCAATTTTATTGTCGACCCTGTGCACCCGTTCATGTAAACTTTCAATCCCGTTCTTTACCTTGTCCCCCGCCCTACCGGTCAGATCTATGATCTCTCCCTCCTTGAGCAAGGCCAACGTTTATGTTACTACTGTTTTCTCAGCCAGATCCGTTACCGTGCTAAAATCAACATCCCGCTTGTTTACGAACTTGCTCGTCTGTTGGTAAGCTGACAGGATTTTGTCTTTGTCGAACTCGGAGAACTGTCTGAGGAAATATTTGCTCATTATCCAGTCCGTGACCCCGGGGATCCTTAGTGCTACTAGAGTAAATTCCCGTAGGAAATCATTGTGCGTTGCGAAGTTCTTCCTCTGAACTGCTGCTAGGTCGGCCTCCGTCGCCATTGTTGCTAGGTACTTCCTCATCATCACATCCCGGGTCTCCTTCCAAGACCGGCTTGTGGCTACAATGACCATTATGTCCCGTCCTAGGCTTAACGACACGTGTTGTCCTAGATGGTCAATCTTTTCTTCCTCGGTCCACTTTAGTAACGCAGCTAGGTTTTCATAGTCGATCAGGAACTCCGTGATGTTTGCTCCATCGAAAGTCAGTTTTTTCTTGGCGTCTGCCAGATAACCTTGGTTCTTGTTCAGTGCTCGTGTGAGGGATGATACTATCCTCCTAAGGCCACCTTCGGAGCTACTGGCCTCGCCTGTCATGCTGGTATCTGACCCTTCCTTGCTGGCTTTCTGCCCCCCTCTATTCTTTGTCGTTCCTTCCGGGTCGAACCATCCCAACACCCTTTCTCTGAGGCTTCAAAGCCCTTCGCATCCTCGCGATGCCGCTGGCGAGGTCGGCAGACGGCTAGCCCTACTGTCTGTGGCTAAGGGGTTCGTCGCCTTCTCTGCCTCCATTCCCGGCGAGTTCTCTCCCTCTTTCCTTTTTTTGCTCGGCGTTCCCCCACGGTCACTACCCTTGTCCCCTTGCCCAGTTCCGCCCCGGCTGGTTTTTCGTTTGTCCCGTGGTACCTCCTGCAGAGAGCCTTCCTCGTTCCCGATCATCATTGCCTCAATTAACCTTGCCTTGTATTCCGCGGTTCTTTTATCTATTTCTGCTAGTTTGCGCCTCGCGTTCGTGACCCTTACTTTCTTAGACACAACTCCCTCCGAGTTCCCGGGGCTTCCCCTATTCGTATTTCTGCCTTCCTTGTTTTCCTGGGTCCCTTGTCTGCTTCCCCCGACTTTTCCCGAGCTCTCTCCAGAGGACATTTCCTTCCGGTTCCCTTTGGTGCCATCCGAATTTGCTGATTCTCTGTCCTTCTGCCCTTCCTTACTTTGCTCAGCACTGCCTCCTAAGCCTGGTCCTCCCTCGTTTTCATGATTACCCATCTCATCCTCCGTTGCCATATTTGCCTACTTCTGCATAACCAAAGGATCCCCCAGAACAAACGCAGTGCGAGACATTTAGGTTCCCTAGGTTCCAATACTGTTGGTTTATCCGTTTACTTGGTAGTTAGGTTTTTCCCCATTCCCATTTTCCGATGGCTTCCTTAATATGGAGCCGCGTCCGGCTCTGCTGCCTCACCGAGCTAAGGGTGTGACTTAGCTTCCCTTATTACCAGCTTGTTTAGAGCGCCCTTATTCCGTTGGTCGGTGCGTAGGGGTCCGGGTTGGGCAACCCGCTAGAAAATTTTTTTCCTGCGCGGTGTTCCTCGTCTGGCAGTTATTGATCATCCGGGTCCGAGCCCCCCCCCCCTTTCCTACTTCTGTTAGTGGCCTTCGAACGTAGCGCACTATGCTTGATTTGCCCTACTGGCTTGCCTGCGGGTGCTAGTCCCGTTCCCGCCTTCGTGGCCCTTCCGGTTCGGTAGGCTCCTCGAATAGTTGAGCCACCCCCGTTAGATAATTCTCCCCTATCTCGATTTCCCTTTGGATTATGCGTTCGCACCCCGTCCAGTCTAGCCGGGGCGCACAAAACATCAGGATTTGGATGACTTCTAGTAATTCGTGGGCCCGGTTTCCCCAGATGGGCATATGCTCCACAACGACATCGTAAAACATCCCAATGGTGGGGGAGGGAAAGTGGCCTGCCCAGACTATCGCTGAGTCTGCCAGCTCCCGCACCCTCGCGAGGCTTCCGAAGACGAGGTCTATCATAAAACGGGGCACTCGGCATCTCAGTGGTGTGGTCGGTGCCCTAAACTCCCTCCAACCTCTTATTTCCACCCGGGTAAGTAAGCCCACGTTCCTTCTTCCCCTGACCGATTGTCCTATCCGGGTCAAAGTCCGGGCGACCCTTTGAAAGACTGGTGCCAACTCATGACCTTGTGCTATCTCTACCCCCAACGAGTGCCAGCCGATCTCAGGCAGATACATGGTCCCGGTAACTTCTAGATCGGAGAACAGATCGTCTCCGGGTCCTCGGTTGAGTCTCATCCCTGTCCACCGACATTCTACCAACATGAAGGCGGCGTCCCTTCCCAAAGTTACGACCCGCGATTCTATGTCGAAACCCCGATAGGTAAAACTCGACGGGAGGGATACTTCCCATCGTCCACTGTTGTTCCAGGGCGGTCCGGGGTACCGGGGCTGGCATTCCATTCGCACACGGGGCTGGCTTTCCATTCGCTCACGTCTTGCTGCCATTGTTACCTTGATGATTCCCTGCATAGTCCACATAGAAAGGGTTACAACCAATCTTCAGAATCCGCCCACCTACTGTCTCCCTTGCCCTTCGTATTTTCATTTCTCTTTTCTAGTCCCAACTATCCCTCTATTCCTCCGGGAGCAGTAGCCTCCTCTGGCTGTTCGTACAAATGGTAGAGATCATCCATGTAGGTTGCACCCCAACCTACCTCTCACCGGATGACTCTCCACATCGTCTCACCACTTATTTGTGGGACTCCTGGCCTAGCATTTACCGCTTCTTGTAGAATGCAAAGCACCTCGCGCCCTTGTTCGTCCCCAAAAGACCCCATCTGTAGGAAGGCCCGATAGTATTCTCGACACATTAATGCTTCGTCAAAATTTAGCCTAGTTACGGCAGTCACCGCCTGCTCCACTCGTTCTATGCCTCCCACTCGTCTTAGCAGGAAGGGTGGTAGATTCATCCGTATGACCTCATTTGGTAGCTCGAAAACCCTCGCCGCGGCGACTCTTACCTCTGTCGTTATGTCATCTCGTTCCGGGTCTGCAAACTCAAACCCCTCCCGCCAGGTTATTTGCCATGCCCCTCCGAACATTCGCACGGGGTCATCCCCGGAAGCCAAAGCAATCCCAAAGGTCCGCCATCCTCCTTCCGACAGGTGTAAGGATCCCGTCGCATGTACACGCCCTGGGAGGTTCAAGTCTACGCCCCCGATCTCCCCTCTCACACACCATTCCAGCTCTACCACTAGGTACACCGTATCTTCCACCAACTCTACCCCCACCCAGTCCATTACCGGATTGCTTACCGCATTTCTTGCCGACAGGCTTATTTCGACTCTGCCTTCTAATATTCTTGGTGGCAGGATCCCACGAGGTCTACCCTCCCACAACGTCATCCGCCGGGCCATCTCGCAATGTCTCATTTCCTGCTTTCTTAGTCCGATTGCTGCACCCACCGAGATTCCATGCCTTTCGTGTTTTAGTCTTTCAACCCTCCCTAATTATCGTACACTGGTTCTTGCCGCTATCCCCAACTCATACGCGTTCAATTCTACCCCCCCCCCCCATTTTCTAGTTGCAGTCACTTCCCCCTTGTTTCGATCCTTATGCACCCTCTACGACCTAATGTACACACTACCTTTCTTATGTTACACCTCAATTCACAACCACCCACCATAATCAGGCCTTTTTCGCGGTGTTCGATCCCTTGGCCTCACTCAGTCGAACCACAGTACCTCAAATAGTTTAAAGACATCGTCTACGTAGGAGGGTGCGGCCACCTCCTCCCGGCTAACTATGGCGTCCCAAGACTCCACCTCTACCTCTAGGCGGTCATACCTGCCGATTCTTAGGACGATGATGACTTCCTCGGCTTTATTTCCGTAGAAGGACCCATATTTCAATGAGAGCCTATAAAACTCCTCAGTCAGCCAGACACACTCTATATGCGCCTTTCTCATGGAGTCGGCTACTTCTAAAATGTGCTCAAACCCCCCAAACCACTCGACTATGAATTCCGGTACCCAAGCCGTTATCCGTAGACTTGGAGGCTTAAGTTCCTTCCATCTTCCTATCACAACTCTGCTACTAACTTCGTCCCATCCCTCGCTGGCGAAAAGCTTGCCTTCCTTTCGAGTTCGGGTCTCTGCATCCCCTAGAAGCCACATCAGGTCCTCTCCCATTGCTAACATTGTGCAAAACAGGTGTCATCCATCCTCAGAAAGGACAACCGTTCCAACTGACTCTACCTTGCCTTCTGCTATATCATCCCATCCTTCCTCTTCCCTTATCGGGTTCCAAATCCGCTCTATCCATACATATGACAAGTCCCGGGCAACCTCAAACCCAATCCAGTCGCACGTGGTTCCTCTTCATCTGTTCCATGTTGGTATAGGCATTTCTATTCCTCCTCTGAGTCGCCGTGGTTCCCAACTTTTGAAGAGGTATTCCGTCATCCTTTCTTCTCTAGTCATCTTTCCCTTTCCTGCACAATACCAGGTCACT